TTCGGACGAAGGAGAATTTATCAGTCCGTTTCCAGATGAAGGAACTTGGCCAACTCAAGCACTTCCTTGGTCTAGAGATTGATCGCACACAAGAAGGAATATTTCTCTGTCAGCAAAAATATTCCAAAGATTTATTGAAGAAGTTTGGAATGCTCGAATGCAAGCCAATTTTGACACCGATGGAACCAAACGCCAAAATGTGTGCACATGAAGGAAAAGATTTGGAAGATGCGACAATGTATCGACAATTGGTAGGTAGTCTAATCTACTTAACCTTGACTCGACCTGACATTTCTTATGCAGTTGGTGTGATGAGTCGGTACATGCAAAATCCAAAGAAGCCTCATTTGGAAGCAGTTCGACGAATACTGAGATATGTGAAGAGTACAATTGACTATGGTCTTTTGTACAAGAAAGGTGAAGACTGCAAGTTAGTTGGTTACTGTGATGCTGACTATGCGGGAGATCATGACACCAGGAGATCAACAACTGGGTATGTGTTTAAGCTTGGTTCTGGAACCATCTCTTGGTGTAGCAAGAGACAGCCAACGGTATCTTTGTCAACCACAGAAGCAGAGTATAGAGCAGCAGCAATGGCAGCTCAAGAGAATGCACGGCTGGTACAGTTGATGAGTGATCTACATCAACCAGTAGATTATCTAGTACCATTGTACTGTGATAACCAATCGGCCATTCGCTTGGCGAAAAATCCAGTCTTTCATGCAAGAACTAAACATGTGGAAGTGCACTACCACTTTATCAGAGAAAAGGTTTTACAAGAAGAGATTGAGATGAGACAGGTCAAGACGAATGATCAAGTTGCGGACTTGTTCACAAAAAGTTTAAGTACAGGCAAGCTCGAAAATTTTCGCTGTCTGCTCAGCACAGTGCAAAGAATGAGAGCTGACATTGAAGGGGAGTGTTGAGTGCTCTATGCAATTAATCAATGTCACAAATGTTAGGTATGGTTGAGTGGAAAAATTAGGTGCAATTAATGGGTTTTGTGTGGTAGTAAATAATCTTAGTTTAATTAAGTGTGTGGTGTAGCTTTCATTTGGTTTGCTATAAATACCCAAGTCCCCAAGCATTGTATATCATCCAAGGAAAAACAAAGCCTAGAGCTAAATAAGAAAAGCTTTGCTAATTAGTTTGTTTTGTGAGCTTTCTTTAAGAGTGTGCTCTATTTTCTTCTTCTTGGGATCATTAGAGTTATCTTGAATACTCTTCTTATTCAACAAAAAATGCCTTGTTATTGGAGATTTTAATGATATCTTATTCGACTCTGAGAAGGAAGGTGGAAATTACCGATCGTGGAGGAATCGGCGTGATGCTGACCTAATTCAACAAAGACTTGATCGTGGTCTTGCAACGGAATGGTGGATTAAAGTGTATCCTGAAACTAAGGATTTTCATGAGGTTTTGGAGCGTTCGGATCATGCTATGCTCATTTTGAAGACGGATGTCCCACCACAACAAAGGAAGCGGGGATTCATATATGATCCGATGTGGGGTAAGGAAGAGGAGTGCCGTGATTTTGTGCTATCTAGGTGGAAGAGGGAGTTCGTTGGATTTTGTGCATTCCAAGTTGTGGAGAAATTAAAATGGGTGTGGCATGGTTTGATGAATTGGGGACGGCAACATGGAAAAAATTCAAAGCTGAAAATTGATGCTATAAAAAAAGGACCCTGTGCAGCTTGTCAATCACCTTTGTTTGCTAGTGATGAGGTGAGGAAAAAGGAAGGGGGCTTAAAGATGGCTATTAGAGAAGAGGAAGCTTATTGGAGATTGAAGTCTAAACCCAATGGATTCAAGAAGGGGATAAAAATACAAAATATTTTCATGCCCAAACGGCAAAAGAGGAGGCGATGCAATAAAATATTGGGTTTGGAGGACAATCAGGGAGTTTGGTGTGAGGAGGTTGAAAAAGTGGATGAGATTGCCATTCAATATTTTCAGGAGTTATTCGTTTCCGGTTCTCTGCAAAGAATTCCGAAAATAACAAGCTGTGTGGAGGCTAGGGTGATGAAGGAGGATAATGTAGAGTTGATAAAACCAATTTCGGTGGAGGAGATTCGGAGAATGATGTTTCAAATTCCGGGAAATAAGTTGCTTGGCCCGGACGGCTTTTCAGGAAGTTTCTTCCAGCAACATTGGGATGTGGTGGGTGATGATCTCATTAACATGGTGAAGTCATTCTGGCACTTAAGAAAGTTATTGAGGAAAATGAATCATACGCATCTTGTGGTCATTCCGAAGGTGGCCAGTCGCCCAGTCCTAGGAAAATGACTCAATTGAGACCTATGTCGCGTGTAATGTGGTCTATAAGGTGATTGCAAAGTTGATAACTAATTGATTGAAAAAGGTTATGACCCACATCACTAGTATGAATCAATCGGCTTTTGTGGCGGGAAGACAAATTCAGGATAACATAATAGTGGTGCACGGGAAGTTATATTCTCTCAAGCAACAAAGTAATAGTAAGGAGTCTTTCATGGCGATGAAATTAGAACGGCTAAGGCGTATGACCGTGTTGAATGGCCATTTCTCTTTGCCATGATGCGAACATTGGGGTTTTTTGAGTTTTTGTGTTTAAGAATTGAAGAATGTATATCTACGGTGTCTTATAGTATTTTGATTAATGGGTCGTCCACAGGATTCATACAACCGCAACGGGGGTTGCGGCAAGGGGATCTTATGTCCCTTTTTTTGTTTTTAATTTGTGCTAAAGGCCTTTCGGCTTTGTTGCGACGGAGAGAGGAGATAGGTGGTCTCCACGACATTAGTGTCTGAGGGAGGGTTGCCTATTTCGCATTTGTTTTTTGCCGACGATGCAGTTATTTTTTGTAAAGCTTCGGAAGGTGAAGCATTGGAGGTTATGAATGTGTTACAAATTCATGCGGACAGTTCTTGGCCAATTATAAACATGGAGAAGAGTTCACTTTTTTTCGGTGCTCATTGTGCGAAGAAACGAAGGGAAAAGGTTGTGGGGTGTACACATATCAAGGGAAGGGATAACTTTGTAATTACTTAAGGTTATTTGCGGACTTTGGTCATTCCAAAACTGTGGTATTCGAGGAAGTGAGAGAGGTGCTAAATGGTCGGATTAATGGATGGGCCGAACAATTCCTTTCTTTGGTGGGGAAAGAGATTCTAATCAAGGTCGTAGCTATGGCCTTACCAAACCATACGATGTCTTGTTTTAAACTACCAGTCAAATTGTGTAAAGATTTGGATAGGTTGATTGCAAATCACTGGTGGGGTGGAAATAAACGAACTAAGGGCATGCATTGGTTTTCTTGGGACAAAATGAAGAGAATGAAGAAAGTGGATGGTTTGGGTTTTCGAGATCTCTTATATTTCAATCTCGGCGTTTCTTGCTAAGATTGGCTAGAGGGTAATGATGAACCCCACCTCACTGCTGGCTCATGTTCTCAAGGAAAAATACTACCCAGATAGACCATTTATGGAGGCAAAACAAGGGAGGCAATCTTCGTGGGGTTGGAAAGGTATACTTCATGGACGTCGTATTTTGGAGCGGGGGCTAAGATGGAGGGTTGGAGATGGGCAGAGTATCAGGATTGTATATGACCCTTGGATTCCAAAGTTATGTACGTTCCATATACGGTCTAGGCATGCGGAGATGCGGGTGATGGTAGGGGAGTTAATTGAGCATTCTACGGGATCGTGGAAAAAGGAGTTGGTAAGTAACTATTTTGAAGAGGAGGAAGCAAAACTTATACTTGGGTTGCCAATTAGTTTAGATGGTTGTCATGATAAACTAATTTGGCATTATTCTAGGAATGGAGAGTTCACGGTCAGAAGTGGCTATGGAGTGGCTATGGATCTTCAAGCGAATGGGGAATTAGGTAGGAAGGGTACGGGAATGGGAAGTAGGAGTATGGTGTCTGACCGTGTCTGGAAATATGCATAGAGGTTAAGAGTGCCAAATAAACTGAAGTTTTTTTTATCACCAAGCCATATTCAAGAATTTAGAGATGTCCAGCTGGTAAAGACAAGGGAGAATGAGTGCTGTGGGAAACCTTCAATGTCGGTTTTCGCTGGGCAACAAGTTCGATGGAAACGTCCTAGTTTTGGGACTTTGAAAATTAAATGTGATAGGGCATGGCATGGGAAATCAATGTTAGGTGGCCATGGGTGGGTGGTGCGAGATTTTGCGGGACTTTTGCAGATGGCTGGTGGGGTGGGAGGTGAGGTTTTCAATGATGCACTATGGTGGAAGCGGCTGCAATTTGTGCAACTTTGGTGATATGTAGGGACATGCATTATGAGATGGTAAAGATAAGAGTCTGATGCTTTGTCTCTTATCAACATGATAAATGAGGAATGCTCAATTGATGCAAACTTGGAATGCTTCATTTTTGATATTCAGAATTTGGCATCTCAGATTAGGGAGGTGAAGTTTATGAATGTTCAGCGGGGTGGCAACCTCGCTGCCCATGCAGTGGTTTCCTATGCTACCTCACGTGATGGTTCGTTATTGTGAAATGCTTATGGTCCTGAATTTTTTTTTAATATTCATGCAGAAGAGGTAAATGTTTTTATTAGAATTTAATAAAATTTATCCTTGACAAATAATAATAATAATAATAATAATAAATCAAAAAGTACGAGTCTGACCGACCACTACAAATTCAAACAAAGACTCCGCCCGTTGTGCACTAATGCACGTAGGCAAAACAGATGTTGACTTCACACCTTATTACTTTTTATACAATTTAAATCTCCAACGACTAAATTTAACTTTTTTGACAAAAATATTCATAATTATATTAGAGTCATCTAAATTACAGTAAAAGAATTTGAATTCAAATATTGTGAATAGAGTATATTGTTATAGTAAACTTAACTAAACAGGCGTGTGCAGAATTAACTTAAAAAATGTTTGAAAATTTCAATGCAAATCGCCTTGACATATGTGACATTCTCACATTGGTTGCTACATCACTCAACATTTTAAACTTTGAAATCTTCTCCCCCGGTAAACACCCTCTCCAATTAATTAACTTAAACAATTGAAATTTGTATCTCATTCTTCCCATTTGATTATATATGCAACTGTCACCTCACTTTATTTCTTAGAAATTTTGTGTTATATTCAAATTATAATTAATTTGATAATTAGCTAGTTGAGCCTTAATTTCTTTACTTGGTCTAATCTAACACCAAACTAGTCTACAAAACTTTCATCTTCTTCTCTCTTTCCTCTCATTTTTTTCAACTGGGAAACTCAGACATGTCGATCTTAAGCAACAGTATCAGCAGCAGCAACAATGCGGCACCTTCATTTCATGAGTTCAAGAAACAAGCTTCTTTCTTCTTCAAGGAGAAGATCAAGACTGCAAGACTAGTCCTCACAGATGTTACACCAGCGCAACTGTAAGTTTCAATCAATCTGTTCTATGGTGCGTAGCTAAGTTGACTAGAGCAGCGTGCTCCGACTCCTCTTCTGCAGCCAAGTTTGAATCTGTCTGCTTGTAGTTTGGATAAGATTAGAATATCCGCATCCTCTCATTTTTATGGTTTATTTGTTGAACTTAGTGAGATCGGATTTGGTAGTTTTTTTGTTGGTCTGCTTTTGAGGGAACTTCTTGTGGCTTTGGATTCTAATGTGATGAACTTTTTGCTTGGCGTTTAACGTGTGAAGATTGACTGAAGAAGCTACGAATGGGAATCCATTGTCTCCGGACACAAGGACCTTGGGTTCAATTTCAAAGGCTGCTTTTGAACTCGAAGATTACACAAGAATTGTGGAGATTTTGCACAAAAGGTTTCTGGGTTTTCTCCCTTTCTTTCGCTTTCATTTTTCGTACGATTTTCTCCTTCCGCACTAGCCTTTTTTACGTCCATTGATTCTCCTTTGGTTTTTTCGATCCTAAGCCTAGAAAAATAGGGTGGAGTGCATGCGGAAGAAAAGAGAAGCCCGGAAATCACTACACTTTTTTTCCCTCCAGATTTATTTTTATGAAAACTTGGTGAATTAATCTATGCTTTTATAATTTCGTTTTCAGATTAGTGAAGTTTGAAAGGAAGAACTGGAGGGTCTCCTACAATTCTCTGATTGTTGTTGAGCATTTGCTGACTCATGGACCAGAAAGCGTTGCAGTTGAGTTTGAGGTTGACAAAGATGTTATTCAACAGATGGGAAGCTTTCAGCATATAGATGAGAAAGGGTACGTAATTCTGATAAAATTCTCGAGAACTGTTATTAGCACTCTATAACATAGTCATTCTGAAAATCTTCTCGTTCATTTTGTGAACGGGAGGAGTGCAGCATGACTTTGCGTACGATTAATTTGCGAGGGGTCTAAATATTTAAAATGCAGATTCAATTGGGGTCTTGCTCTTAGAAAGAAGTCCGGGAGAATTTTGAAGCTGCTAGAGAAAGGACCTCTTCTCAAAGAGGAGAGAGACAAAGCTAGGAAGCTAACCAGAGGGATTCAAGGGTTTGGGAGTTTCTGCCAAAGATCATCTGGCTCTTCAGCACAAGGGATTTTAAGAGAATCATCATTTCAAACATATGGAAGGTCCAAGTCTCAATCTCTCTTCAGTGACGACGAAAACCAGGAGAATCAGTTTCCATCATCTGACTTCAAAAATTTTACTAAGAAAGTTGAAGAATCAAAGCGAAGCAACGAAAGCATTGCGATCGTTGTGGCTGTCAACGATGAAGTAGAGAAACCCGAAGCTCGAACAAGTTTTAAAGAAAACATGGTTCCAAACAACGACGAATTGGAGAGATGCTGCTGCAAGGGAGAGTCTAACCCACTTTTGGATGGTGAGAAAGATGTGTCTAGGGTTGAAATTTCTGCTGAGGATGCACATCCCTTCAATGAAACGCACAATCTAAGTGCTGCTTCATTGCTTGCTGCAACTTAATGCACTCATTTGTTTCATTGCTTGCTGCAACTTAATGCGCTCATTTGTCAACGGATGCTCCTATTACACTTGTAGTCTTTGAAGGACCAGAACCAACTATTGTAGTATCTACATCGAGAAATCTAGTATTGTATACATCGTTAGTCTAATAGTTTCTCGGACCTACCCGTTACAACGAAGAAGTACTTGCAAACCGCTTCCACTGGCATGTTGAATGGGCTATTTGGTTGGGTTTTTATTGTTCCTATTATCGTGTGCAACTCAAATATTATGTCATCTTGAAATATTAGTAAGAGCTTTGCTCACCCGCACAGTTTTTTGCATGAGTGAACGTCTAAGATTATGACTAAATATATTCGATCTTGATATTTCTCAAATTTAGTAAATTTACACTGTCACATTAGAAAACTAATCTGCTTAACATTACAATGCTTTCAATTTTGATAGCTTTTATACAACAAGCACCTTCCCTATCATTGCATGATATAGAAATACAATGGTTACAACGAAAATCTACGAGTGAATGACATATCGATGACATACATACCTACATACATACATACATGAGAGTAGTGAGATTTCAAGCCTTGCAAAGCCAATCTTGAATCGCAAGGCGTAAGGCATGGTTGGGAATGAGATGCAAGTGACTCAATTTCAAATTGGTCATTGGAGAAGTCTCGCGACAATTTTGTAACCATCCACGCAAAGCTTCACCTTCGTACGTGAAGCCATCAGCTGCCAACTGCGGGTCATGCATTATTTCCTGAAAACAACGAAAAATCTGTCAGTTTGGAAGTCGTTTACCACCTTAGTTCTTGTATTCAAGTTGAAAGTTCGGAGCTTTTTGGTGCATAGGTGGTAATTCACGAGCCTTGTTCACAAGTACAAAACCGTAGTCTGAAGTCTTCAAATGGATGATCTAAAATTTTTACTTGTGATAAGTTCTGAAGTTATGTAAAACTAAATTTACGTATAGAGCTTTGCAGCACCTTGAATTAGAGAGCAAAACCCAAATTGAATCCGAGGGTTACTAGAATTTGGAACAATCAGCAAACGAGGTTATTAGCATCACTCACCCGAAGGATCGGACACAAGAAAAAAGATGGTACTGGTCGCTCTTCAGAGGCATGTAGCTGCTGCAATTCCCTCACAAAAGCTGGCGTAAGCTCTGGTCTTTCCCTACTATTCAATTCACAGCATTGCAAACCAAGGTCTACCAATCGCACTGCCACAGATATAGGCCATTCTCCGGCTGAGGAATCTATAATCGATGCCAAATTTCCACCTAAAACTGCCTTGCGCACCTCACTTGCTAAGCCAACTGGAGGACGTCCGGTGACTAACTGCAGAATGATCAGCCCAAAGGAATAAATATCAGACTTGGGCGTCAGGACCCCGACTCTTTGCAGCTCTGGATCTGTGTAACGAAAAGCACCCTTTGGCTCAGTTCCCTGGCGGAAACTTCGACAGTAAAGATTGTCTTCAGTGACCAGCCTGCAAATCCCAAAATCACAAATCTTGCAGTTGAGTTCAGAATCTAGTAGTATGTTTTGCAGCTTCAAATCACCATGGACAATCTTTTCAGGTCTAGAGGAGTGCAAGAAGCAAAGGGCACTAGAGATTTGAGCAATTATCCGTGTTCGGGTCTTCCATGGCACCAGAGAAATATTGCTTTTCCTGAAAAGATGGTCTTGCAGACTCCCATTTGATAAGTATTCGTATACAAGCGACCAGGCTTCTGGACAAACACCAAGCAAGGTCACAAGGTGACGATGCTGTAATTTTCCAAGAACTTGTACCTGCAAGCACAAAGAAAACAAAAATGAGCATCTTTGAAGTGTCATTGACGTATTATTAATCACTCCATCAATTTGACATATATAGTTGAGAGAGAGAGAGAGAGAGAGAGAGAGACCTCTTGTTGAAACTCAGCTTGTCCTTGCAAGTTGTGTGGATGCAATTTCCTTATGGCGACAGTTCTGCCCAGCATTTCCCCCTTATAAACACAACCATATCCTCCCTGCCCAATTTTAAAGCTCTCAGAAAAATTGCATGTTGCAGTCTGCAAATCTGACAATGAGAATTCGGCTAATTTCGGCAGTTCTTCAACAAACCCAATGACCGCATTGCAGTTTGCGGCTCCAGCTTGTCGATGATTCCTCCACCGCTCAATCCAGCGAAGGGCTTCCACCTTTTGTCGTTGAATACACTGTTTTTCCTGCTGAAGAGTTGCAATTGAAGTCTGAATTTGCTTCACTTCCCCAGAAGCTTCATCAAACCTTCGACTTGCTTCCTGTGCTCGGCTGTCTAGAAGGGCAATATTTCTCATGGCCCTGCTTATCTCACCACTAATTTCTTCCTTCTCTTCCAAGAGTTTTTGTTGTTCCTCAATCGTGATTCTCAAGGCGTCCTCAGCCTCTTCTCTAAGTTTAACTTCTCGGCCACGGGCTAACTCAAATGCCTTGGCCTGAATCAGAGAAACACAATTGTGAGTTAGGAATAACAAGATTAATGAATAAATTATTTCATTATAACGTAGCATTCAAAATCGTTATATATGTAGTTATAACCCAAATATAAAATGTTTCAAATATCTTATTCGCCAAGAAATTCTTTATTAGCAACGCGTGCTTACTAATCTTCTGAAAGTATTGAGAAGTTCCCTTAAATGCGTAACACAAATTTATTTTTAGCTTCACACTCACAGTTATTACTTGAAAGTACTGAGAAAGATCCCTTCATTGCATTACACAAATTTATTTTGAGTGTAGCACTCTTGAAATGGATCATGTAACGTAATTTCTAGGAATCATAATACCAAAAACGTTAGTTCTTAAGCTGCAACATCAACTTGCAGTTACCTTGTTGATAGCATTCATAGCTTCTGATTCTAAACTTTTGCGCTTCGATAGCTCTGCAAATGCCTTGTCCCTTGATGCCTCGGCTTCTAGTGTAGCTTCCGTAAGCATACGGCATAAGCTCTGTTCCTCAACGTTTAAATCAGAATCTGAAGGCATCCTTCCCTCAGCAAAATTATATCCTGAACCAGAGCTAGAACCTGTACTAGTTGAATTATGAATACTGGAGGGTAAGCACGTATTTGAAGAACAAGCTAAAGTTGGTGATGCAGCCAATTCTTTGTGGATTTCTGCATTCTCTCTATTTTGAAATGATTTACAACTCAAAATTTCTGCAGGTGCAATCTGCAGTTGCCCACATGAGGTCGGAGAACTTTGGCCATCTGAAGCATCTCTCGTCCAGACATGTTTCCCTTTGTTGATAAACCGTATTTCACAGAACAATGGAGCACATTTGGCTACATAATTTGCTTTGCTGGAGCTCTTTTTCACCTTCATGCAACTATAGTACAATATTAGGAAGGCATATTATGCTACTATATAATAAAATAACAAATCTTGCAGTTGCAAAAGATATATAACATTCAAGTTTCATAACAACAAAACCAGGAAAACTTACTTTCCATTGCGTTAGTATGACAAAGAAAATATTTAGAAAACGAAACGTAGACACCAAGGGCCGGTTCAATTAGACACCAACTCCTACTTACTGGAGAAGGAGTTGATCCCTGGACCACTCCCTTTGAAAAAGCCGGCTTTGAAAGTGTGGGAGCACAAGGTAAGTTCTTAAATAGGTCCCTTAATACATAAACTTGACAGAATAATTATTTGTACATAAAACAAAAAAACAAGACAAAGTTTGCTGATACATATACATCTTAAGTCAACAAAAAACACTTAAGACCCACATGTCACTAGTTTCATACCTCAGCATTTTATATTAAAGCACTTGAAACGATGTCACGTATTGGGGTTTTAGTAAACATAATTTTATTTTATTTTCTAAGATGATGCATGCATGGTTGGACAGAAGGCAGGGCTTTTGCTGGGGGTGAAATATTGTAGGCCTCATTTGCCTACCCTAAGGGAGGAGGGATGAACTGGACCATAGCAGAATCAGTTCCCAAATACATTTTTACCAAAGGAGGCTCTTCGATATCCAATTTTTTTCACTGCAGTACAAATAAGCTGGATAGCCAAGTTCATGTCTGAGTGATTCACAACTTTACAGAGACCACAGTATACGATCTAATTGTGCTTTTTTATAATTATCTTAACTTTCAAAAGCAAACCATTAGACTTACAGTGGAACCTTATTATGCACCACTTACTCTTCTGGTACAGCTCCCATAACAAGCTTCCTTACCCCATTATTGTTGACCAGCTCTACAATTCCTTTATGAATTTCATTAGCTTCAACCATAACAATGCTTGCTTTAACCTGGAAAGTAAATGGTTGCAGTAATATAGTTAGATACACAATTTGTATTCAGTTATTATGCAATTGTCATTTCACGAAATGTGGACACTTTTGACACAATTCTACACAAATATTGAACTATCAACACATAATATATTGAGTCCCGATGAAACAAAAATAATACGCAAGGCAGAAACGCCTTGTTCATGAAGCTAAAAACTAGGGAACTGGTTAGCTAAACTCAAAAGGTACTGGTAAAATTCAGTAGTGGAAGAAATCAAGGTTCTTCCAAATATAAGGAAACATCATGATTATGAGTAGCGATCTTTCTTAAAACTTTGATAAACACGAGGACTTCAATTTATAATAATTATGACAGTAAAACACTAAAAATAAAGATTGATTTATAAATTAAAAGACAAAAACATAAGGGCACAAAGCACACACCTTTGCTCTAGAGCAAGCCCTCAAATAATTTTGCAAAAGCTCCATTTTCCGTTCCCTTTCCTCCCTCCTGAAAGCCGTTACCACCTCGTCATTTGCCTGACTTGCAGGTAGTTTTCCTACTGCAAAATCATTGTAATCATGAATGACATACAATTTCAAAGAAATCAAAGTCTTGAAAGACGAAGAGAAAGGGTCTCAAACTGCTTAGCAAATGCCTGGAAATGAGAATTGAATAAGTTTTGCGAGCTTTTACACTGTCATAAGAACCCTTTTGTTTTCCCAAATGCAAACAGAAAATAATTCACATTCCATCCACAACACATTAATGGGTCAATTTTTGTCACATTTTCAAATTGTTCCATAACATTTTCTGAATTCAGGAAAAAACTGGAAGACCCCTATATGCATACTGTGAAAGAAATTCATAAATCATGAAACTTTAGAACCTTTTTCACCAAAACAGAGAGAATAATCTAGAGCCATTTCACCAGAACACTAGACTTGTTAGAGAGAGAGACTTACAGGGAGTGGGAATCAGCGGAGATGGCTGATGAACATGAAGTATACAAATTTCATTACAGCCAAAGTGCTTGAACGTCCAACGAAGCAAGCTCAAAGCTTTGTCCACAGACTTCCCAACCGCCACGTGCACCTTGTCACCACCACCACCTTCTTCACAAACCTCGGGCAACTGAGACTGAGAGGAGGAAGTCGCAGGCCGGTCAAACCCACGTCGGAAACTCACCGGAGAAGAGAACCCAGAAGGGGATTCAGCCACCGGGCCATGGTGCGGATACGAAGGCTGTACGAGCTCCATGGAAATGGAAGGGTAAGGAGGAAGCAGCTCCGCCGCTGGTCGCGGAGTTGGGGTTTGAGGAATGTGGGTGCCGCTGTTTTTGGGGTGCAGGTGGGAGGGTCATATGTAAAATTTGGAACTGATGATTACAGGAGTGAGATTTCGTGGAATTTGTAGGGATCTGTAGGGAGTTCTCGTTTCCCAGGGAGGCTTAACCTTTTGTGCTGATTTAACAGTGACACGGGAAAATGTTGACGGTGGAGTGGGGGAGAGATTTTCTTTGAGATAGATCCTCGCAGGATTCTCACGAAATTCTTTAATTACATCTGTTTATCGTATATCGTGAGTTCAGTTTTCATCAAATATTATTTATATTTAATTTTAAATAAAAAAATTATAATAATTTCTGATCATATAATGTATAATGAACAAATATAATTTAAATATTCTCAAAATCCACACAGAAGAATCGTTGATCCTCACTCATTTTCTTTGTTCTTCTGGTTTCAGTCAAAGATTGTTTAAAATTTTAAAAATTAAAAACGTGAGAGCATCTTCATGGGCATCTTTTGATTCTTTAATTTACATTTACTTGAAAAAGTACGGTAAACCCCCAAATCTATATTTTCATAACATTAGTCAAATCAATTAGTTAGCATCAAATAAGTGGCGTATAACAAAGAAAACGAATCATTCCTTGATTCTTATTTTTCAGTGTACCCACCAGTGTTAACCTAACAGCTATCAAGCCTTACCAAGTCCTCTTAGTAAATGTGGACGTGCCAACTCGCCACTAAACATGAACAACAAATATGATGGTGATGTTGCATGTGCTTCTGATTTCTGTATCCGAGTGAACGCAATCGAGAGAGAAACACGTCTCGACCTCTGAATTCTATAACTTAAAGACAGTGAAGTCCAAATAAGGATTCAATTTTCAAGGTGCCAAACACTTCGGCGGATGAGGAGGACCAATGTGGTGGTAGTGTCAGATGCGTTTCTAACTTTTGAATCAGAGTTTAGAACCTGAAGATAAGGTTGCTAGCTACTATGAAGTCTAAATAAGGGTTTGGTTTTCAATGTGCCAAACATTTAAATAACCCCATAACACCTCATTTCGCCAAAAAGATTTGCCAACATAGGGTTGTTAATCCAAACTATTATTAATTCAAACTAAAGACGTGCTAACAAAGTTAAGAGAGTTAGTGATTCCTCAAAGATGAGAGAAGGCGTGTATAATGAGATTTTGTGCAAAGTGTTTGAAGGTCCAACCTTCTCTATTTATAATAAGGAAAACTAATGAAAAGTTCAAAAAAAATTCCCTTTTAATAAAAAGTCATTTTTAAAGGTATAGTGAATAGTAATAGAAAAATGTATAAATATGATTTTTCATTAATAGTAAACAGTACCAGGAATGTTTTGATAAATCTCCTTTTATAATAATATCCTTGATGGCCACGTTGTAAAAATGATGTGGTGAGTAACAAATTCGCTTAAAATAATATCTAAAAATATTATCTTCTGAATGGACCCACGACACCGCCAATTGGTGGACGACATAATCTAGTTTCTGGCAAATAACTTCAAACCTTCGTGAAGGTTTCTTGCCCAGTTAAAAGCCTCACACGTGTCCCACCATATTATCTCATCATCTTCACCCCTACATCATCCGATCAAGTTTTCGCCCAAATCATGATTTTGAATGTTGTTGAGTTTGGATAATACTTTCAGAGAAATGATGAGGAGAATTTTAAAAGAGAACTGGATTGTCTGTTCTTCTATTTACATATTTTTTTCATGTCCTCTTAAGATGTATGATCACAGTTAAAGCACGTTAATATTTTATATTAATTTTTTATAGAAATAATAAAACAAAAATTAATAGGAATATAAATGTTGACGTGACTTACCGGTGACCATACATCATAAGAGGGCATGGAACAAACAGAAGGGCATGGGAAGAGTATGAAAATGGGAGGGCAGACAATCCAACTCTTTTTAAAAGTGGGATCTCTCTGTAACTTTATATTTTTCACATAATATTTTATAATTTATAATATATTTCTTCATGATAATTACTACGATAATTAAGAATGGTAGTAATATTCAGAAAAAATTAATACTCATCCAATTGTCTCAATTAAACGAAAACATTGGGTCGAAACAACCACGTGTCATAATATAAGTGAAAAAATGTTAAAAAATAAGCTAATGTAAAACATATCAAATTTAGCATTCAATTATATTATAACGCGTGTTGTATCATCTTATTCAAGTCAAAAGATTCTCAAGCCTTATAGGCAAACCAATTGTCAATATCATAGACTCGTATCATTTCTAATCAGTTGGACTTTGAAGATTCTACCTAACCATTATCCGTAAATGAAAATTCTTTACATGTACAGTATTTAAATGTAACGGCTATTACCTCAAGGCACTAAAGTAAAACCAATGGGCCACTTTGTTAAGTCTCTCGTTCGACCCGTGAATGTCGCTAATTATGTTTCTTTTTCTTTCTTATATTTTGATATTCATCAAATAATCATAAATCTATTTCCAGCTAATCAATTGATCAATCTCAAAATATGACATCCCGTTGATATGGAAAACCAAACACGTCCATGTGCGCTGTGACGGAGCCAACATTTTCAAATAATAGGTTCATCATGTTAATCAAAAAAAAAAAAAAAATTTATTAGACCATTTCGTCGAACACCTAGTAGGTAACTGTCAATCCTATCAACATGTACCAAAAACTTATGCTGATATATGTCGACCACCATTTTTGTAGAGGTTTGTCGAAGGTGGATGTAGGATTATGTGGAGTAGTGTTAAAGACTTCCAAGACTTATCAACTAACACATGGTGTGCACAACAAAGTCGCTTGCAAGAAGAGAAAAAATAAAAAAATACGATAGAATAAAATAGGAGGAGATTGTAATTTAATTTGTATTGGCTGTTTATATGAGTCAAATATAATACATAAACAAATATACATAAGGTTTTTGAAGTTGTTGAAGTTAAGGGCAACCAATGACCCTCTGCTCGCTCCGCCATTGCATGCCCAAGTGGGAGACATCTCGTTGGTGTTGTGATCAACTAGTAATGCATTATAAACACAACATGCATAAACTACGAGATGCCTCTCACTCGATCATGGACAACTAACCCAAACATATTCCATGAGTCATTTTCTTTGTTATGCGCGACATCATCAACTTTTGCCTAGGGTTTGAAGTAAGTTAAGGTGGGCAAATGCTTTAGGAAACTTTGAGATGAAATCAAAGCAACAGAAGCATTTACATAAAACTTAAAGAGGGTATGAGCTTATTAAATTACACTTCAATGCATCTGGGGAAATAACAGAACCCACTACAGAAAAATAGAGAAACATTAATTTATTAAATAAACAGAGAGGCCCTTAAGAATTTAATGGCAAATTAGAATTTCAATCAGAAAGGTGGGGAGGAGCAAAAATTAATAAATGGCAGAGGCTTTTAGCATTGAACTAACACTGTTCAACGGTTAATACAGAAAATAACAGCTAAAGAGTTCAACTCTCGGCCATAACCTCCACGTCTCGTAGTTCATTGTTTCAACAACACTGGACACAGAAAATTTTGAGAGAAGCAAAGGTAAGAGTAAATACTTGCGAGCTGCAATTGCTATCTGAAACAGACTGGAAATCACGCTTCTAGCGATCCCATCCCACAGAATTAGAAACACTTCCTGTGTACAATTGATGGGCCAGATTCATCATACTCAGCCTTGGCAATCCACATCTGCGTTCCAAGTATAAACATTAACACTCGATTAGTACGAACTAATGGAATAATTGTACAAGAAACTGAAGAAATCGCAACTTGGTTTTGGGAGAGCAAGATCGGGGAAACAGCGTATCATATGATTTGTTAATGCGAGCAGGGTTAACCAAAATATTGAACAAAAGGGTGCCTTGCCAAATGATAACGATAATGCACATTTCTGAGATGACGTGCCAAGTGAGTATATGTAATCATATCACGTATACTAAATTTACATACCTGCTGGAAAGTGCTAAGAGAAGCAAGGATGGATCCACCAATCCAGACACTGTACTTCCTCTCGGGTGGAGCAACAACCTTGATTTTCATGCTGCTAGGTGCCAAAGCTGTGATTTCCCTGCTCATTCTGTCAGCAATGCCAGGGAACATGGTAGAACCACCACTGAGGACAATGTTTCCATACAAATCTTTCCTAATATCGACATCACACTTCATGATAGAGTTGTATGTGGTCTCGTGAATGCCTGCAGCTTCCATTCCAATCATGGATGGCTGGAAGAGTACTTCTGGGCAGCGGAAGCGCTCAGCACCAATGGTGATCACCTGCCCATCAGGCAACTCATAGCTCTTCTCAACAGAAGAACTTGTCTTGGAAGTCTCAAGCTCCTGTTCATAATCAAGGGCAATGTATGCAAGCTTCTCCTTCATATCCCTGACAATTTCTCGCTCAGCTGTGGTGGTGAAGGAATAGCCACGCTCGGTCAAAATTTTCATAAGGGCGTCGGTGAGGTCACGACCTGCTAAGTCAAGACGGAGGATGGCATGGGGAAGAGCATATCCCTCATAAATGGGGACAGTGTGACTGACACCATCTCCAGAGTCGAGAACAATACCTGCACGGAAGTTCCAGAAAGGAAATTGTCTAAATGATATTGAAGATACACATAATTATCATTCCGTAAATTTTAAAAACCACTTCAATTTTTGTTTTGATTCTTTCGAATGCTTCAAGAAAACAGTTGCACCTGCTATATATTACGATCACTTCAATAATGATCTCAAATCAATTTCCAAGATAAGCTCTTCTAAAGGCTAACTAACAGCACCTCGGATGTTTGCATTCAAGTCATTGAATCGACATCAACTCAAATCCACAACGTGCTGAAATTGTTCAAACTGCTTACCAGTTGTACGACCACTGGCGTAGAGGGAAAGAACAGCCTGGATGGCGACATACATAGCAGGAGCGTTGAATGTCTCAAACATGATTTGGGTCATTTTCTCCCGATTAGCCTTTGGGTTCAGAGGTGCTTCAGTGAGCAGAACTGGATGTTCTTCTGGGGCCACACGAAGTTCATTGTAGAACGTGTGATGCCAAATCTTCTCCATATCATCCCAATTGCTCACAATACCATGCTCAATGGGGTATTTCAGAGTCAAGATACCACGTTTAGACTGAGCCTCATCTCCGACATATGCATCCTTTTGGCCCATTCCAACCATCACACCAGTGTGACGTGGGCGGCCGACAATGCTAGGAAAGACTGCCCTTGGAGCATCATCTCCAGCAAATCCAGCCTAAAAGATGAGAATTCAACATAATTATTGATCTATTAATATTAAGATTTCCATCGAGATAATGTATGCCTTTACAAGATCAGCATTACAAAAGTTGAGTAGAATCAGATTTAGTCAGCAAGAGTTGGAGATAAAAACGTACCTTAACCATTCCTGTTCCATTGTCACAGACGAGTGGTTGAATATCCTCGGCATCAGCCATTTTCTAATTCCAGCTATAGAGACGTATTAACTGCAATACAGTGGGACATGATATGAACAATAGAGAAATTGAAATACTAAAGACGAAACACCCATCAATTTCCTAAACATACACGGGCATCAGATGTATAGTAATTCAATCAACACAAATAGTAACATCATTACCATAATGATCAAACCATAACCATAAGTTGTACATTCATTCATTCAACATAATGCTCACACCATACCAGACGAAACACCCACCATAAAATGATTTCCCGTCAATTATAAATTAGAGCAAAACAATTCAACTTTGCACAATCATATACAGGACAAATCAAAATGAAGTATAGCAGGAATAAGTCCACATAATATACGACCGGAAAACAAAGAACCACACCGAAGATTCAATCCAGATAACACTCCGGTTATATGTTGATCAACTTGACTTATTCAACTGGCAGTTATGAATTGATACAAATGCTTGAATCTACGCGATTCATGAGGCTCCTTCGTGTCATAGGCATCCAAACCATCTCAAAACTCCGTTGTTTCGCATTACGAAATCAAATCTTTCATGAAAAACCAAATCTTCTACATTTAATCGAATCACAACACAAACCAGATACAATAAACAAAATCAGATAGTAATATTCCCACAATATAATTCAAACTCCAATAGCTACCGCACAAATCCAAAAGAAACATCAAAATAATCCTTAGATATTCAAATTCCCGCATATTCACGATGAAAAGATTCACAAGGTACCCGATCCACAATCGAGAGATCGCCAAACAAAACCTCACAAATCTAGAACGAAAATGAAACGATCCTACATCCAAAACCGAATAATGCCACACGAAGAGATCGGCGATGTCGAAATTAAATTAATAGATTGGCATGCTCTGTTTGGTTGCAAGGAAAATGTTGAAATTTTCTCGGAAAATGAGGGAGGAAGAGAAACCTGACCTTGGATTTGGCGTGAACGGAGGAGCCCCTCGGATCTAAACTGCGCGCCCTTGGGTTCAAAATTCAGACCTCCAACCCCACCTGAAATTCGCCTTTTAAATCCACAGCTCTCTCAGCGCTCACTCCTGGCCGTCCGATCTGTTCAACGAGATTCGTGTTCGTGGCGACGCGGGCCCTACTGATCTGGGGCTCCCGAAACTACAGGCTGTTTCAACTTTAAAACGCTTTGTCGAGAAGTGGTTCTCTCTTAATTTCTTTCATCAAGATCACCGAATAAATTGATCCGAACCTTTGAAAATTCATTCAACAACTCCCATCTGTTTTTATCTTTTAAAAGGTTTAATAATTTTGAGTCGTTAAATAAAATTTTAAAAGTTTAGATCACTTGATTCGATAATCTTGATAGAATAATCTCTTCTCTGCTTTGTCAATCCAGGTGTCAGAGAGCTATTCTTTTTTCTGGTCCTTCGTCTTATTTTTATGGACCACATGTTGGGCCTTGGGCTTGTTATATGGGCCTTTGGAAAATTAGCCCAAATGTTAACTTGGACACACGAAAGTCTAATGACACAATTACTGAAGCCCACTAATCTGGCTCAAGGGCCTGGTTTGGCAAGAGCAGAGTTGGGTCGGTTTCTAGCCCCAACTAAGCTAATTACCAACCCAACCCATGTTAAAGTCGACTTGGATTGGTCAGGTTAATTTGTAAGCAGAAGCCCAACTCCATGTAAGTTTTCGATAACGTTACATTTTAGAACAATAATTCAAATCGTAATATTTTAGAGAAAATTCCAACCTCATTTGTAACACCAAAGGAATATCGCAACTAAGAATGAATTCGAGCGTGACAAGTGGATAGATGATAGGGTTTTTATATAGTTGTCGATGTCATTTCTGTAAATTATTATAATTTCAAATGAGTCAAATCACTTTTTTTTATCTATGTAGTTTTACCTATTTTCCATTTGTCTACGTCATTTCACGTTTGGCACTTTTAACCATGTAGTTTTGTTGAGTAATTCTAGGTTTGTGCCACATAATATCTAGGTTTGTCTACCTAGTATTTTTCTTTGTTTCACAAGCAATGATCAAGTCCTACAAGTTTGAAGTTGTTCAGAAAAATTTATACACCGAATGATTGCGTACTCAGTTGACTGCATATATTTTAGAGAGACAAGTATGCCTTAATATTTTTAGTTGATTGTCAAATAAGAAGTGAGATAAGCATATTAGTACATTCACGTGAGGAGTGAGATAAGCACAAAAATACATACATTGCACTCGTGATATAGAATACAATCTCATTTCCTCACTCATCATGTGAGTAGTGAGTGATACATAGGCACATAGCCATGATAAGGAAGATCATACAATGGCATCATCAAAATATTAGCTAGGATTAAGATGAAATTTAATGTATGATATTTTAAGGATTTGAACCATTCAACTTTTAAGTTTTGATTTCTGTTTCTCAACCCTTATGCACTTTAACCCTATCCATGCTAGAACCATACACATCAATATTGACTACCACTACATCTGAGAATGGATCACAAGCAAAGTCATTGACATTACTCATGTTGCATCTCAAACTAGTTGGCTGACATCCCCATCAGTCTTCCTGAATGCTTCTCCATCGCAGGTTAAGATTTGATTGCAATTAAACTAATTAAACTATAGGAATAATGTCAAAATTTAGCTGAAATGAACCATCCACCGATCAAAAGTGTGATTTAGCCTTGGAGAAAGGAACACTAATATTTATGTCAATAATCCTTAAGTTTGGTTAAGGAATTGGTTTAAAAGAGCCTTGTTATTTTTCTTTTCTCAATTTCAGCTAATCTACGTACTTAGGATGCTTTTGATGATAAATTAACTTCCTGAAGGAGTTTTGATGTAAGGCTAATTGAACAAGAAAGCTAAGAGGCTGAAAATCATTGTATCCAACTTTCATAATGTTTCATGAAGCCAATTGTTCCATTTTTTACAAATCAATCCCGTGAGAGTTACATTTTTTGTCAAAACTGCACAGTTGTGAGAGAATGAAGATTTGAAGTCTTTTATGATTTTTCCTAAAACCATGAGATATATGCTTGGAAAGCTTAAGACATACAACTAAGATTTTCCTATTTTTCCAGAATTTTCTAGATGTTGGAATGACCCCAAAACTGGCGTGCAAGATAGATGATGTGTTTCTCAAGCCAAGAATGATTCTTCCCTAGTTTGGTCAATAATTGTTTAGGAATTTGTTCTGTTTTAAGAGAGTTTCTATCAAACATTTTAGGGTTTTCTAGTATAAATAGGGCACTTTAAGCTCTTTCTACAAATCCCCACATCACCACGCCCCCATACGACCATAATACCATACCATCATCATACACCGCAATTCGCAAAGAACTTAGGGACGTTACTAGCCATGAATTTTAGGTTTTATGTTTCTTTATTTTTATCTTTTTATGTAACTAAGTTATTTTATAAGGTTTATGATGAAGCCATATGTGAATATCTGCGAAGTAATTTTTAATTGCTATTTGATTATATGCCATGTTATATTCTTTGTGCTTATTTTATTATAGGTTCAGATATCTAATGATTGATCGCCTTTAGAAATTATACATCCATATACTTGAATAAACCTATGATGATAAGCAATTAATTAGGTTTATTGGAACTAAGATTAAGAAGACTAGATAAACTAGTAAGCATGACCAATAAGCTAGTCCTACTTGGTTGACATGGTTCTTCTACACTTAATGAGCTTTTATATGTTTAATTGTATGTCTAATGAATAGGATATAGTTATCATGTAGAGAGACACGAGTTGATGTCTGACCACGTATTAATTCATACCTTAGGAGGAACAAACTTTAATATTGGCATGATAATTGGATAGTCGTTCACTTTAGGAAAAGTAAATAAGATTGTTATTGGCGAATTCATAACCTTAGACTTCATCGTTTCTCAAATTCTTCTGACACATGTTATTTTATTTACTTGTATTTTTTAGTTTTATTGTTAGTTTTAGTCTTAATCAATCCTTCACTTTAATCTATCATTTCTTTGTTTAATTAAGTTAAGCGTGATTAGTCGGTTAAATTGGTGCTAAAGTAATTTTTGTGGAATTGACCTCGTATTTGCATATCTTACTACAATTAATTCGTGCACTTATAAGTTTAATTGATTTTAAATTAATATATTATATAGGTTAGTTTAAATACACATCATACACAAGTTGTACAATGTGGCTCCCATCCTCAAAACCTTCTGCCTGCCAACTTCAATAAATGTGCTGCTAGTGGTAGGCTTTGGCTGAAAGAAAACCAAGTTTTAGCCTCACTAACTAACGTACTAACTCACTAGCTTAAAAAATATTAAACTCCGGACAAGGATTGTCTGCCCTCTCACTTCCGGTGCCCTCCCGTGCCCTCCTGTTTTGTGTGATCACAGTTAAGCCACGTCAACATTTTATATTATTTTTTTTTATAGAGATAATAAAACAAAAATGAATAGTAATATAAAATGTTGACGTGGCTTAACCGTGACCACACAAACAGAAGAGCACGGGAGGGCACCGGAAGTGGGAGGGCAGACAATCCTTGTCGTTAAACTCCACCCACATTTTGCCCCATCATATCTTACCTTGAAAAAAAAAGATGTAAACATGAAAAAAAAATGGTGATAAATATTTAATTCGACAAATTTTAAGCTCTTATAGTTTGACGAAATCGCACACCTAATTCTCTATTTTTAAAGAAATACTAACCTCTCAACATCCTCTAACACGCATCTGAATAGGCATTATGTTGAAAACAAATACACTTACAAACACTACGGCAAATGGCACCTTAATTACCTCAAATAGGAACCAAAAACTTTGAGTGTGGGGACCAAAAATGGCGGGTGAACATATGAAGTAAGATATACGAAAAGTAAAGGCAAAAAGGGTTGAAAAACAGCGGGAGAGATGATTGTTAGAGATGGGGACATGGGGGAAGCAAAATGATTAGGCATGAGTATGACAAGCAATTATGTGCCATGAGAGTGTGTGTGTACACTCACTTTTATATATATTTTAGCTTAATACCCCACGTTATCATAACATGCCAATTCTTTCCATCACATAATAATTATGTACTTAATAAAGTCGAATAGATATATATATAAGAAATGGAGATTTCCTTAAAGTGGAATTCTCCATAGACTTTTTAGCACCTTACTGTTTAACGTTAATTTTCGTGTCAACATTATAACATTATCCTAAAAACACGAGATGTTAGATAGTCAATAGAGAGTCTCACTTTTAAAAGAGTCCTTAACTTAAACGAAACTAAACTCAAGAAAACAAAAATGAGAAGCTTATGTTGTACTTGTGGAACAATTATTTCGGACCATATTTAAATGTCCCTTAGGTTATAAGATTCATGCGAATTTATATTTTCTTGTAAGCTGTCTCAGATAAACAATCATTTTGACTTACAAATTGAAACAAACATATTCGATTAAGTGTTGTTATCTTATTAACTTACAATTGAAAATGAAGCAAAGATACAACATGAGGCTTGGTAAATGGAACCTTAAAGTATCATAGATGACTTTGACTAAAACAAAAAATGAGCAGATATCTTAGGATAGCATTTATTCCTTTTTAAGAAGCAAATTACAAATAAGATTTTAGACATATTTTTAAATCACATATATATATAATAATATCATAAAAAATTTATCAACTGTGAATATGATCATATTTATGTCCAAACATAGCAAATTCAATTGTTGCTAGGTTATTATATTTACGATTTGTAAATACAATGAAATGTAATATCTGAAATTTATCTTAGTGGGTGACAAATGTCATGAATAATTGATTCAACTCATCAATAAAACTTTGTTTTTATGGTTTAAAATGTCAACTAATATCTAGAAATCTCCTTCAACAATGACCTTTTTGATATTA